CAAATCAGAATATCAACTGGGGAGGAGGGGTATGAAGAGATGTAAACTTTTTGTTTTCTAGAAAACATTTGGCTCCTTTAAAGCACAGATCTCAGCCTTCATCACCCAAATGTCACTATGAGCTGTCCTGTGCTCTCACACACGGGACTAATGCAAAGACTCACAAGACAGCCGGCACAATTTTTACTACGTTGTTTGTCTACCTGTCACATGAAGACATCCCTCACACTGACGTTAGAACAAAGATGCAAGTGAGTCTAGGGTCACTGTCCCTACACTAGGAATCACACCAAGGGGATCCCGTGAACCCCAAACACCACACCTTTCACAGCCCCTGCAAGCCAGGCCCAGCGCCCACTTCACAAACTTCATGGACAAGCTCACAGCAGGTCTAGATAACGAAAGTATTGAGTAGGCATTGTCCTTGCTGAAAACAAGGCAAGTGCTGAAACCAGCAAGGCCGCTGAAGGGACCCTCACGGACAAGTAAACAGCCTCCTGACAGCTTACATCATGTACCACAACCTCAAATTCCCTTTTGTAAATGGCCCTAACAACTAGCCATACTTTCTACTAAAAGGTCAAAATACACATAATGAGTAAAACAGAGCCACCAATAAAACACCCCTACAAACTCCGAAACAAACACAATGTGCTCAGGTAACTTCGCCCCATGGCTTTCCCCCGGCATGCTGCCCCACCACCACCCACAGCACTGGTCCTGGCAGCCCGGGCCGCCCGGCCCCACCCCATCAAAACAGATGCCCGCCAAGCTCTGCCCCCAGGACCAGCTCACCTGTGGTGACAGGAAGCCTTTCCTTCTTAACTCGCTGGAATTCTTTCTCAGGGTGACCTGTGGCTCTTTCCAGCAAGCACGAGGGGACACGAGGTGCTGTTTCTACTACTCCTGCCACCTCTGCAGCTGCTACACCAGCACATGTCACTACACAGCACGGGAGGAGCGCTCCAGAAGCTCAGCACTCAGTCCACGCAGGCGAGGCGGAGCGGACAGAACAGAAAGCAGGCGCCACAGTGTAAAGGTTCACGCTGCCTAAGCGTCCCAGAACAAGCAGCGGGACGAGTCAGACTGTGGGGCCCTCGCACTGTCACACCAGAGAACCCGAAAGGATGGCGAGTTGACAGGAGACCAAGTGGAGGACACAGAAGCTGACCGTCGGCACCTCCGAAAAACCCGCAGCCTGGAGAGCACCTGCCCACTGCTGATGTCACTGATGGTAGTAACCAAAGGAACTGAGGTCCTTTCAGTGATCACACTGCGCTCAAGAAGAAAATGACGGAAATATTCCTGCAGCCCAGGAAGGGTATGTGCCCAGCAGTCCCCCAAGGTGCCCCAGGACCTCTGTCACCTGGGTGTTAGCAGGGAAGCAGAACCTCTCCATGCAGACCTGCCCAACCTCAAGGAGGGGTGTCACTCTGCCTGACCCACCATGAGGGGACACATCACACCAAAGGAGCAGGAAAGTTCAGTGAGAATACAGGCCATATGCCTTATCCCAGAAACAGGAGGGGAAATCGCCAAGAGTGGGAAAACCATGGAACCAGGCTATGTCTCCACACCCTGTAAAACCCAGTAAGGTGTGCCTGGGAGACACCAAGCAAGGGCACACAGGGCCAGCAGAGGAGCACTGGCACAAAAACTTTGCAACGCAAAGCCAACCGCTGCACAAGGTAACAGATCCCGGCTGCCACATCACACTGGGTGTGCAAGAACTCACACTCATACTTGCGACTCTCCAGCACCTGGGCTGAGGTGCACCTGAGCTTGCTGCAGGCCCGTGCAAGACCCATGACCTTAGGTCCTCCGGTCCTACAACTTCCTGGACTCCCTACAAGGGCAGCAAAGACCCTCCCCCCACAGTGGTCACTCACCTGGGGGCAGCTGGAAGTTCTGGATGTTCGTTGGGTTCTGGGGCGGCTGTGGCAGACGAGGGGCCAGGACCGTGGGCGTCAGAGTGGCCCGGATACCGCTGGTAGTGACCGAAGGCGTCCTGGGCAGACTCTGGGTGACCGCGCTGGCAGAGCCCTTGGGCAGCCCGGTAGGGGTGCCGGGGGCGGGCGGCGGGAGGCCTGTGGCCGTGGACAGCGCCCCTTGCATAGTTGGCCCGAGG